TGTATTATATAACACTTAATTATATTTTGTTTACTAGAAATAATAATTTAAAGACATATTTTTAGATGTCTTTAAGATATAATAGATATCTTTTAGAAACGCCTTAAAGACATATTTTAAGAGAAATCATTTAGATATCTTTAATATGTCTATTAAAAATATATTAAAGATATCTTTTAAGAGATCTTTTAGATGTCTATAGATATCTTTTAGATATTCTATAAAGATATCTTCAACGAAACTTTTTTAGACATCTTTTAAATAACTTCTAGATATCTTTTAGAAATATCTTGAAGACATCTTGAATAAAATATCTTTTCGATGTCTACAAGATTTCGATGTTTACTGGGTTGTTCCCTTCTATTAGTCTATAAAGTCGAATGTCTACTGTTATTGATTTCTAATATACAACATGTATTTAATTAATAAATTTTACATTAAAAAAATCAATAGTTAATGTTATACGTATTTTAGCTCACTTAGTATAAAATATAAACAAAAAAAAGTTTTTTTTAATGTTAAAATTGTTATTAACGTTAAAAGAAGTAATTTTGTTTTAATAAAGCTATTATTGTCATGCATTGAAAATTGTCACACAGTTTTTATGATAAATACTTTGCGATAACTCACCTATATTTATTAGTATTGTATGTCAATTAGAATACAATATTTTGTAACAAATAATAATTTGTTACAATATTACTGTGAACACTGTCTCGAATCACGATCTCACTATTTCGAACAGTCATCTGATACTAACTGTAAGAAGGATATTGGCTCATATTATAAACACATAATGTGATACAATCTATTTTTAGGGCCACGGACAAAGACACACTTTACTAATCAATAAGAAGTAAACAACTTTTGATATATAATTCGTTAAACTTGAACAAATATAAATAGTAAATTTTTAAATTCTTTTTATTTATTGTTATACGAAATTTGAGAAAAATGATCTTAGGATCTGCTAATAATGAGTGATATTGGTTGGTCTTAGACGCCCTGTATCATTTATTGATATCAAAAACATTGATAAAATGTGATAACTACTATAAAGATTATGCTTAATATGCTTTTATCTTATTATTGTGTGCAGACAAGCAAATCTTGCTCTTAACGAAACTGTTGCACGGTCGTTCAAAATTAGAAGTAGCATGTTACTATTGGAAGTATTCCGATATCAGATATAGACAAATGCATATAGCGTTAGTACACGTGTGCAGTGGCGTAGCTAGGAAAGAGTTTCGGGGAGGGCTATAGCTTTAATTTGTTACAAATTATCACTATTAATTAGACACATCTGCACGGTATATTACCCACACTTAGCGCGACCCAGAGCCAACGACGGGGACGTGATGGGTTCTGGCTCCATTTTACTTTTTTTTTGTTTTTGAGTAATTTTATTTTTTTTTATTTTTTATTTATTATTTTTATCTTTTTTTTGTTTTATATTTATATATATATATATATATATAT